TTTTGAGAATGATGATGGCAACATATGTACAAATGTGCTTGACACAATATATGTATGTATGGATTGTGATAAGAGTTGTAAGAGCCTCCCCCGAAATGATTTTTTTTTTTAAAGAAAAGGTCTTTTGGTATAATCTCAGAAATGGGCACACATGAGGTACTGCCACTGTGCTTGGTGGTGGATTACACATATTCCCATTAGCTGTGCTGCGTCCTTCCAAAGGGCCGTGGAGGGCTTATAGCTTGTAGCTGAAAGGACATTTATGGATAAAACATAACAGAGACTCCTAAAGCCGGGTTTCTCATGAGCAACACTACTGATGCCTTAGACGGAGTCCCTCTTTGTTGCCGGGGGTCTGTGCCCTGCTAATGTTTTGGAGCCCCTCAGGAGCCCTGCTGGCCTCGTGGAGTTAGGCTGCTAACTGCAAGGTCAGTAGCTCGAAACCTCCAGCTGCTCTAAGGGAGAAAGACGAGGCTTCGGACTCCCATAAAGAGCTGCAGTTCGGGAAGCTCACAGGGGCCGTTCTACCCTTCCCTGCAGGGTTACTCTGAGTCAGCATCGACTGCATGGAAATAAGGGAGGTTTTTTTTCTTCTGATCCCTGTCCCCTCCATTTGTAACAACCACAATCTCTCCACACATCGCCAAATGTTCGGGGGCAGGGAGTGTGGTTTGCAGAATTGCCCTCTGGTTGAAAGCCACTTCCCTAGAGGAAATGGAAGCAGCAGATCGAGGTAGGAACTGAAGGTGAACAGATTATAAATCCGATACCAATGAATTTGGCTCTGGCCTTTTGGTCACTGAAGGCAGACCATGGTCAGTTACGGCAAAATAGAGTGTTCATTTTTATGCCTAGTTTTTCTTACGTGATCATAGAAAGTATATAATTTCTTCTGCAGATACAACTTTTTCACGCTTACTTAAAGGTAATTTAGTGTTATGATTATGACAGATGAGTTGAGAGATTCTCAAAGAATGGGTAAAAAGGCAAAAAGTCATCCGAGAAGCATTAGGACAGCTCTAGGGAGACTAATTGAAGAACCATTAGCATCTCATGAGGTATGGCTAATGTACAACTCCAAGGGCCGATGAGACTTGAATCTTTTCAGGGCAGCTTTATAAAGAAAAGGCATTGGATGGAGTAGGGGCCAGTCTCCCTCTCTGGTAAATTGCTGGATCTAAGGAAAGTCCTGATGTTTTACCCAAACTAGTGGGCATCCCACAGGGATCAGAACTGAGCTCAGATTCGGACCTGCCTACTCAGAGAACCTTGCTGCACGAGACCTCTTTAAAGTGTTGACAAGAAAGGAAGCGACTGTGAGGACGGAGGCGCGCCTGACTCAAGCCATGGGATTTTCCATGGCCTCCTATGCACGTGAAAGTGGGAGACTGACTAAGGAAGACGGAGGAAGAATCTGTGCATGTGGACTGTGCTGGAGGGACTATTGAAAGTACCCTGGACTGCCAAAAGAACACAGGAATCTGTTTTAGAACATGCATGGCCAGCGCGCTCCTGAGAGGCCAGGATGGCAACACTTGTCTCACGTACTTTGGACACGCTGTCAGGGGAGACCAGTCCCTGGGAAGGACATTGTGCTTGGTAACGTGGAGGGGTGATGAAAAAGAGGAAGGTCCTCTGCAAGACGGCGTGACACCGTGGCTCAAGCGAAAGCATCACTGTGAGGCTGGCGCAGTGATTTGTTCTGTTGGACGCGGGGTTGCTATGGGTCTGAGTTAGGAGCTATTTCTGGAACAGACTGGACCTCAGTTCCGAGGAGGTGATTGTACTTTTTGGAGCGTTTAAGAAGTTACACGATATGAGTGTCATGCCTGCTTTCGAGAAGCTGGTTGCTATCAAGTTGATTCTGACCCTCGCATGCAGAGCAGAACAGCCCCCGTAGGATTTTCTTTCTTCTTCTTCTTCTAAATCATTTTATTAGGGGCTCAGACAACTCTTATCACAATCCATACACACATCAATTGTGTAAAGCGCATTTGTACATTCCTTGCCCTCATCATTCTCAAAACATTGGCTCTCCACTTAAGCCCCTGGCATCAGCTCCTCATCTTTCCCACCTCCCTCCC